AACATTTGTATTCTGGGCTATTTAACGCTAAGGATTTCTGTATAATAAGTGAAATCAACAGTTTGTTTTGTGCGTGTAAGATTGTTCCCATCAAGTGTCGCTGGTGCCGTGGGAAATGATTATTACTCAGGAGACAGACGTGACTCAGCTCATGTGTATCTCACAGTTTACAAATGCTATTGGTTTGTGGTTTATACACACACACACCTTTTGTGATTATGAACTGTAATACAATGGTCCCCAACCACTAGGCCAGGGACCAGTACCAGGTCTTGGATAATTTAATACCTAGAAAAATTAGGATTTATCACTTTATTCTGCGCCTCTTTTCAGTGCCTTTATTTTGTTGCAGTTTATTCATAGATAAGCCCTTAAAATAACTTCAGGAAAATGAGTAAAACCTAAATCTTGTCGACTAATGACTGTCACAAGTTGACGTCCCCTGGCAGGAGTCAAAAAGTGCAATGCATTCTTTGCCTCTGATTGGCCTACGCTAATATTACATCATTGACTTATCCAATAGTCATAATCACTTCGTAGAATGCATGCGAAAGAAACATTTACACAGGAACGCACCAGAACGGCCATCAGTGGTAACAGGTGCTCTGAAGGGAAAACACGAGTGGACCTTCAAATGTATCTGAGAGACGGGGCAACATATTTGTGCAGATAATCATTCTTACTGATCGTACTCTAAAAGTCTCAAGTTCATGATTAAAATGAAGAATCGGAATGATCCTCCCAACTGTCTGTGCCACTGTCCCTTCCCCTAATTAGCTACCTGATGTTTCCTCCCACAGTGATAATCTCCAATCAGCCATCTGCCGAGTCATCTCTGTGTGCCATCGTCCTCCGTCCTGACGCCACATTGTGGCTTTCCCTGCTGGTAATGTCAACTCGCAATATTTCCTCACAACAGAGACAGAACTAAAGCCTGTGACTGTAACTACGAACCACACACCTACATGTGCTTTCTGACACCGTGGCTGGGGTCAAATGTTTGACTGTCTGTCTGTGCATGTACGTCAGTACGTGTAGGTACTGGTGTGTGTGCGTGTGTGTACAAAGGACCTCCTGTGATGGACTTAATAGGCCAGGACAGATGGCCTTCCCTCCCACCAACCCACCACACACACAGACAGACAGTCATGCCTGAAGCATAGCCTCAGCGTTTGGTTGTAGATGTTGTTGCCTGTTCCAGTACCAGCCTCAGTCTGTTGCTCAGAGCAGCAGGAGAGAGCACAGAGAACATCTGTGCTTGTGATGTCAGTACAGAAATAGAAGAGAGGGAGCCAGTGTTTGAACCAACTACCCTGCTAACTGACATCCCTGGGTATAAATAATCTGTCTGGGGTGTGTCGAACTCCTCATAGCTCAGTACCAGAGGGGCAACTTTGAGTGAGACTGAAATAACTATTGCTGTCCTAACATGAGGTCAGGACCCCCAACCCCTGACTCCCCCTTTGTCCAGGATCAGACGTCTGAAATGTTCACATACTAGCAGATTACAAAAGCCTACATCTAACATCCTTCTGTAACACCACAGAGTGTGAATGAACACGGCATACAAACTAAGGCACGTGTGTGTTTTGGGGATCCATCACAACAGCGTTTGGTGAGACCTGTAGCTGTAGGTGAAGTTGACTGAGTAGACTTTAGTTAACACTGACATTTAATTCAGGATCCACTCTGCACTCCATAACTGTTTCAGAATGGGGTTGAGTGTGTTCATTTGCGCTATCGTTAAACTGACACACAGACATTGTCATGTGATCACCATATCAAGAATGCACGTGATAGCCAGGCATTTCCATCCATCCTATATGGATACTACCGTAAACAACAGGTGTAGCGTGGTGCTGACGAAATATGATAAAGAAGTGTAGAGAATGCATCAGAGCTCTGACAGGAGGAGAGCTGCACTGAGATGGAATGGACTGGGGTGTGTGCAGGGGGGAGACTTCATGGGATTTGTGATGCAGATTAAAGTTGAGGTGTTTTCTGACACGTGAGCAGGTGAAAGCAATTGTTTGTTTTTCTTTTTTTTTGGGTTTTAAAATTAGTTAATTGGAGATAGAACCATAATGTGGATTAGATCGTGCACATCAGTTGAAGAGTGAGAGCACTTGACTTTGCAGTGTGGATACAAATGTTCAGCATAACAAGTTTCGCTGTGCAACCACGCTGTACCTCCAAGTTAGAGCATGAAGAAATAACCTAGTCTCCTATTCCAGACTCCAGAGTCCTTCACAGCAGTAATCCCCCTCAGTCTGACCAGAACAACATGTGCTGCCAGTTTCAGACATCAGTCATTTTCATGACGATCAATTCCTGGTGAAATAGTCTCTGTTCAAACAGCACAGGTGTGTTAGAGCACCAGAGAGCACACGGGTAAACTTTGAAACCATATGGTGAGATAATCATAGACTCTAATTGTATTCTTTGGTGATAAAAACAAAAAACAAAAAACGAGTGAAACAAAAGTTAATGCCCTCCAGAAACAGCATGACGACAATGAAGGGAAAGGAAAAGAGTCACAAATATTATTTTCACCAATGAGGTTCAACAAGATCTGGAGGCGTGAAGCTTTCACTGCTCAGGCTAACAATAGAGACTGACTTCTGCAATTATGCTCCAGCGATGTGGAGAGATTTCATTAAATGTAGGACTTTGTGAGGAAGATATGGCAGGATCCCATGGAGACCAGATGCTGCTTGTGGTTTAAGTGAAAGCAGCAGGTGGTTGATGGAAACCTTCAGTCTTTCCAGAGTTAGTAAAACTATTGTTGCTGAGAGGAGTTGGTTTTTATTCTGATGTCAGAATATTACAGTCTCTCTTCTTCTCCAAGGTCAAGGTCAATGGTGTTGACGCACAAGTCAAGCTGAGAGGATCTGTCCGAAAAGCTCACTCTCACTTGACAGGAGAATTGATTGGTTAAATGCTAATTTTGAGTCTCAGCTGACGATCCGTCACACAGCTCCCTAAATAAGGTGTTAGGGCCACTGTGAAGGCAGCAGGTTGTCAGAGAGACAGTAGCCTGTGTGACAGTCAAACAGAGGACAAGGAGCAAGTATTGAGAAAAGAGTAATAATCAGTGTGTTGATGGGAAAAAAAACCCCAATACATCATGGACACAATTACACAAGGAAGTCCATATTTGTGTTTCTTCCATTACTGTGATAACTATATTACATTTTATAAGTATATCAAATGAGAGTGATTGTGCATTTTAAATCAACAAGATAATTATTGTCTACACTTTAAAGATGCTTCAGGCTAAGAATTAATAAGACTGCAATAAAGAAAAGAAAAGAAATTACAATTACAGGCTGTGTCACGTGAAATCTTAATAGAATTACGCAAAGGGAGTTCATCCTAAAAACAAACAAACAACAACAACAATAATGACAACAAAATGATTTAAGCGTAATAAAACCATCGGTGTTATCTAGGTGGGGGGTACGGTGGGGGGTCTGTAATGGAAGAGTCCATCATGCATTTTTAATTGAACTTATATTAAAACAAATATATGAACTCTGCTGCATCTGCTTCACAGAGGTGATAGGATGTTGATGATTAAAGTCTGCACCTGTTGAGTGAAATAACAATCTCTGCAAAGATTAAAGACACTACGTACTGTTTGTTACCAAATGTGGAACAGTAATAAACATTTTACCGACTTCATTTTGTGTTGTTGTGAAGCTGAAAGGAATAAACAACGGGCTCTGCCAAAAAAAAAAAAAAAAAAAAAAAAAGAAGAATTAACTATATACAATACACCAAGCTTAACTGTTTGCTCTCTGGTCAAAAAGAATGGACAATATGTGTTCGGCCACAGAACACTGAGGTTTTTTTTCTCTGTTTTTGTTCATTTGTAAGCAGTTCTGTTTGTGTACGTGCGTGTGTACTGTTTTGGATTAGTCCACACAGTGAGCAGATCCCTCCAAGATGAGACTTAGTCAGAAGTAGGTCTGTGGACCTCTCTTAGACCTAAAGCCTCAGTTATATCATCAAATATTTAACTGTCTCCTAGAGTAATAAAGTTGGGATTGATTAGAGGACATGCCCTCACATTTAGACGCCTGGAGCGTGATGAAACCAATAAGAAAAGTAATTAGAAGAAGAGAAAACTGGTGGGGCCGGGCAGTGCTGGTGTCCTTGTGCTGGCATTTGGATTTGACAAATTAACAGTCAGTGGGTTTAAGTGTTTAGTTTCACTGAATTCTACAAACCACAATCAAATCAGCAATTAAAAACTGAACGAAACTAATGTAATGCATGTACATGTATTACTGCATTCGGTCCTTGGGGTTTTTTTTTTTACACAATGATTTTCTCAGCAAGGCTCATGTACGACATCTGGCGGTCACCTCTGGTAGTAAGCTTACTTTTGTCCCTGGAGCTGAAATCATTTTTTAACAAATGACTGCGCCACATGCAGCAGAGGAGACCCCAGACATCATTTGTGAGTGTCCGTGGGATTGTGGCAGTGGTCGAGTGTTGGCGACCTTCTGGACTTTTATATTTAATAACACTAATAATTATTATTATATCAGTACAGATGGGTTTGGTGAGTTCTGGATATCTTTAATACTTCATTTAACCACTAGGTTGTGCAAACAACAAATATTTGCTGAAGAAATCAAAAATATTTTTCTCATATTAAATGGAAAATAAATTTATAATAAAATTTAAATTCATTAAACAAATATTAAATTAATCAGTGGGAAGAGAAGGCGGAGCCACTGGGAAATGACCCCAGATTCTGCAGGTCATTCCCACCAATGAACAAATCCACTGTCCACCTCTTCCCTGTACTAGTCGTCTGTTAAAATGGGGAGTTCTGCCTCAGGGGAAGGGCATTCATCCTACTGTGGATCAATTACTTTGAAAACCCTCAGAACATCACAGACAATAACCAGGCAGATATTCCAAAATGTCAGGTATACTCATAATAAAATCATTTTCGTGTACGCAATACAAATATATCATGAATCTTAAGCGAAGATTTTCACGTTTTTTTTTTTTGTCCCTAGTGTTTGACCTTGATAAAATGTCTGAATGTCAGTGAGACAGACAAGATGCCACTTACATTAGTCACAATGCTCTACTTTAGAACAAAAAACAAAACAAAACACAAGGATATTAGAAAGGTCAATAGTACTGTATAAAATGTCTTTGTGACCAGTATTGTCAAAGGAGAGTGTGGAACATTCGAGTTTTCAGACTTTTTGTGTTGGGAATATTCTTTGCAGGAGCCTTGAGGAACTGATACAGACTTGAACAGGCACCAAAGCCAGAAAATGGAGACCAACCTGCAGTGGCCTTGTTTCCATGTAGCAGCCAGAAGGAGGATGAACATCGTTGGAAAACCTCAAAGTTGACTGCGTACTGACCCGATGCCCATTGAGACACGCACACATGAATAACAGAAGAGGCAAAACCACAGGTGTGTGGAGACACACCGTGGAACACAGTCTCTCCTGGCTTCACCGACACACCCCTCTCCCACACCATCCCTGCCTCTTCTGCCACTCCCATTCCACCAAGGTTGCACAGGGCCTGGAGACACACCTCCTCCAGGGCCTCCTTTTCTGGAAAACAAAGCAGGATGGCCACGAGGCGAGGAACCACACCTTGGCGTAGCAACAGCTCCTGCTGCTTAACTGAAGCCAAGAGTTGAAAGAGAATGATTGATTTGAATTGTTTTTCTAAGTGATTAAAAACACATTTTCCTTCCACTCACAGCTGTCATAAGACATTCTTGAGATGGCCCTTGCAGCGTGAAAAAGCAGTTCTTGGTCAGTGCTGATCAGCACTGACAGAAGGGCTGTGATCAACCCTGCGTCACTGAATCCTCTTCGAACCACAGCTAAAACACAAACAAACAAAAAGTGTTATTCCATTTTGACCCCAGAGCAGCAAACAGAAAGTAACAATGTCAAACCAATGGAAGAACTTACGCTCCTTGGCGAGTTCAGCCACTAGTTTTGCAGTGAGCACAGTGATGGGGCCTCTGTTCCTCAGAGACAGGGCCAGGATGGGCAGGATACCACTGATCACAACCTGCTCAGCCGTGCCTTTCCCTGGACACAAGTGAAAACATTTACAATTATTCCAACAAATTTAAATTTGTCTAAATAGACAATAACCTGAGTGATATTCAAATGCATAATAAATCTGTGTATATCATACACTGTACTAGACCAGGGTTAGATTTTTCAATTTAGACAATTAGACCTGGCTGAGTGAAAGGTTGGAAACTGCAACTTGAAGAACTTTGTTTGGTTATCTGATGGTGATAAGCAGTATCCTTAGACATGGTAGCTGGTTGACCTGGAGCCTGTTGACCCACATCTGTGTCCTCAGCCTCAGTGCATCTACAGTAGATATAAAGGGAAAATAAACCTAATGTAAATGGACTCACTGCCGTCCTTCATGTTGGTGAGCACGGTGTTGAGATGTGGAGCGAGGTCATCGTGAATCCGTTCCAAACCGAGGACTCTGATGGCCCCCAGAGCATTGTTTAGTCTGTCTGTGGGGAGCAGGGGAATACATTAATCAATACAATCTACTACAATTCTACAACAACACTAAACTCACCGTTATTGTTTGTACTATTGGGCTGCAGTCGACTGGACTTGTTTTTGTCCGTGTGCCTGTAGGTGAACGGAACATTAGTGTGTCCCATCCTGCGTCCTACTGTGGTGTGTGGACAGCTGGCGGTGGAACCTCTTCATCCTGACTGTCATCCTCACGCAGAAGACTTTGCATTCCCTCCCTCTTTCTCTCCGTTATCTTTGGTTTTCAGTTCATAGTTGCTATGCTCATCAGTTTGGGAAAATATGTCACCTCAGTGTTTCTGCATCTGTTCACTGCACACTTAGCTTTTACTTGCAATATAAAGGATTTTGTGTCAAATTAAATGTTTTTTGTTTTGTTTTCTCATTTTCTTTCCTCCTACTCCAGCTGGCTCCCAGGGTAATGCAGGGAAAATCCTCTGTAAAGCCACTAAAGGATTTACAGTAAGGCTCTCTATGTAGAGGATGTAGGGTTAATATGTCAGCACTGTTAACAGTTCTAATATGTCCCACATCTTTAACCATCTAAAGAATCCTGGACAATCCACTGCATTTCTTGGGTTTTCTCCTCTACGATCGCCTGTTTATTACCCATTAGCCATAGGCACACTTTAAATACAATATGCCACCATGGTGGTCATTTTTGACCTTCTAAAACCCATGACTCCTGACTCGACTGGAGTCTTAAGAGCACAAACAGCTTCATGAGGACATTAGGGTTGTAATGACTCCTTTAAATATGAAGGGCCTTTTCTGTCCATGCAGGAATAACACAACGTAGACATCAAACTAAAATGGTGAAGCTTCACTTGACACAGTAATGAAAGCTATCACAGCACAGAAATGTCTTTCTCTTTGGAAAAAAAATATGACTCTTTATGTTCCATCCATTCTTTCTGTTGTCTGTAAAAACACAGCGTTACTTCTTCCACTGTAGTACAGAACAGTCGAAGGCAAACAATAAATAAATAAGAAAAACAACAAGAAAAGAAAAAGAAAATGTTTTCTGTTCTTTTTCTATTAATTTATCCCTAGAGGTGGGTCAAGGTTTTTGCTACTGAACGAGTATGGGACAAAAGCTTCAATACTTCAATACATCTAGCCTGCAGTGAGGACAGGAGGACAGGAGGACAGGCTGTCCTGGCTCAGTACTGTACTGTGGAGCTGTACAGGGTCTAGTGATCTGTTGGTCTGTAAACCTCAGAAATAAAAGAATACAGGAAAATAGAAAACACAGGAAAAACATTTTCTTAAGTGGTTCAGAACATGAACGACTGAAGTAACATGTTGGGCTCATCCCAGTCCTCACTCTACAAGCTCTTCTTCGTTTTTTGCGTTACACTGCTGTCATCGACAGCTAGTTAACACTGGAAAACCTCTTAACCACTAGCAAAACCAAAAAGAAAATAAAGACAGAGGAGTTTTTAGGGAAATGTGTTGTGTACTAACTGTTGTTACTGGAAACCCTCTTTACAGCAGAGGGATGACTTGGTCTCAGGTTGAAACTGCACCACAGGGAGGACGGAGGTGTTGCTTTTCACCCCTTTTCTGTTCTTGATTTCAGGCCATTCAAACTAACCGTCTGCAGCGTATAGCCACATCCAGACCCAATGTCTTATGTCACCAACAATGGAGTAGTTTTAAATAGTTCTTCAGAATGGACACGTGTCAAACGGTTTCAGCTGCATTAAGACCACTAGGAACTGTCTCATATCCCACAGAAACCATAAGTACATTTTGCTCCATGCCGCCGTGATGGCACTGCTCTGCTTGAGTTTCCACTTGACCAGCAGCTCCAACTTCCTGTCTCACTTTTTTCTTTGCTCTGCTTCTCCCCTTGGCTTTGGACATAATCTTTCCTTGGTCTTTGGCATCTCCAGATACTTTGTGAGACTTCTGGGCATCATTAGCAAGCGTGTTTCGATGGCGCCTTCGAATGCGGCGCATTGGCGTACCTGTGTCCGCAGGGTCGGACGCCGCTGCACCAGACAAGATGCGGATCTGCTGTTCGATTACCATTATGATTGTGTCCAGTGCAACATCTAACATTCCCAATCCAAGGCCATGAGTGACGTTGTCAAAAGCATTACTGTTGACTGGGTCTTTGAAACATTTTCTCATATCCTCAAGATGGTTTCTGAGAAGATAAAAAGCATCATGTTGTTTCTTTCAATACAAAAAAACCATTTTAAGCCAAGATTCAATGTGTAGAAGCAGAACGTACTTAGTTTCAATGACTTTGGACCAATGTTGAACTGTATTTGTCTCTGGGATAAGCTGTTTAGCCATGCTGCCGTAGTCAATGTAGTCGTGGGCAAAATCTTTCATATCTTCACATAAAGCCTTGGTGTCTCCTAAAATAGTAAAACGTCAAAATGTATTTGTATTTGTTTTGCAGTACAAGGCAGTTTTTCCAAAATGACTTGTGTTTTCACTGATGCATATACACACGTTACCTTCAGTGAGTTTAGAAAATGAGGAAGACACAGAGGTAGTAGTGCTTGGTGTTAAACCTAGAACGTTCAGTGACTCCAGCAGTGTTTTCTTGCTGGCTGGACCTCTGCTGACCCGAGTGTAGGCTGCCAAAGAGCGCAGAGACATCTTCTCTGGGGCCTGCAGACGACGTTTAATTTCGTCATATGAGATAAGGTACTTTCCTACAGGTGAGGGGAAAAATAGTAAATCATCAAGCTAATTTTACCATGGGAATGTTAGTACTTCTCCTACGACTGACTACTTACGAGCCTTAGAGCCTTTCATGTTAGGATCCAGAAGGGATGACACCTCTGCAAAAGGCATCTGTGAACTGGACAGTTGATTTGTACTTGAGTTTTGTGGCAGCTCCTGAGTCTGAGGGACGTGCTCACTCTGAACCTGGTCAGGAACGTGCATCTGGGCTGGAACTTGAGGCTGCATGTTCTGCATTTCCACCTGATTCGGATCTAATGAAGCTTGCACTTGGACTTGGGGCAGGACTAGTGTGCTGTCAGACAGTCCCTGTAGATCCATGCTTCCTTGTACTACACTGCCACCTTGGTCCGAAGAAACCTGAAAGATGCTCATGACTGGCTTCACCACTGTAAAAACCATGTTCCCTTGGGCATCCAGACCTAACATTCTCGCAGACTGATCCATATTCATACCGATGAAGAGCTACTGCTTATCTTTAAACAGTTCTTGTTGAAGACAACCCGTCAGTCTGAGGAGATAGGTTTCCACTCTGAAAGAAGTAGAAAAAAAACACACACTAAGAAACAGAATTCATAATACAATGGTTGTATATTTGAAGTAAAAAACTATGTAAGGAGTACTGTATGAGAGTGCCTATAAAGTTTGATTTACGCATTGAGATGATGCAGTTAGTGAATTAGAACATATTGTACTGTATATTAGCTGAACTGGAGAAAACACCTAATATAACTGATACAACACTATGGATACAATTCTGCTGAGTTTGTTTCTTCTATATTATTATATAGACTGCCATTTAAATCATACAAACTTATTATTATTCAATGATGATCTTTAATAATTCAAATGGCCTGCACAAACAGTAATCATCGAGGTAATGTGCATTCAGACATTTTTAAATTTTGCAGCTGTGCACCATGAAGCCAGTAATTGCGTCTGCAAGTGCAAAACGCAGAAGAAACATTACGCAAAGCTACAACCAGCACAAGTCAGAGATTTTGCAGTTTCTTTTAATGGCTGTGTTGCTTTAATGTTAAACAAACAGTAGCAAAACAAGTGCACGCTGATGCGCATTATCGAATCCACCTGCTATTTTATCTACATTAAATTACTTGCGATGTAATTTTCGACTTCTTTGCCTGCAAGAATGTTACGTATATAAATCCATCATGGCTGCCAACAATGCTGCCGATTTATATAGTTTTTCATCGTTACACACATCGACTGAGAAACCCGTAAAACACAAATGTCGTGGACGACACGAGGACACCTCACTCCGTGGATGCAACAAGTGGTGGCAGTCCCACTCACCCGTGTGCCTAGAAAAAGTTCCCTATAAGGACACTGATCCTGGAACGGTCCGCGTCGGCGTCAGCGCCATTTTTCCTTCTTCACTGCTGCTGCTTCGGCGGGTTGCAAATCAGCTTTACGTGAACTCCCGCCCAAGTGCTGTAATCTCACTGCTCATTCGTTCATTTTGATGTCTATCATGAAAAGGGCGACTTGTCATTGGATATATTCGACGTCACAAATTCCCTTGTGATCGGAACTGATCACAGAGCAACCTCTAGTGGAAGGTTTTGCTCAGTACACCAAGAGTCGCCGGGGTGTAGTAATATTAAACAGCAGAAAACCAAATCAATGGACCTCTGTTATGAAGATTTCATTTTGTAGGCAGGAATAATGTCACTATCGATAGTTAAATTATTATGTGTAAATGTACTTAACATGTTAACCTATGTATGTAAGCATTTAAATCGATCACAAACACTAATGCACTATTTTCATAAATATAAAGGAAACTCATTTGAATTTATTTGTGTACAAATAAAAAGTGTACAAAACAAAGTAGAAAGTACTAAATATGAAAACAATGACAACAGCAACAACATAACAGAAAAGGCAACGTTAAATAATTCAATAAAAATACAGACACCTAATCTGAAAAAGCATCCTGTGACACTGAACTTTGTCACTATCTACACAACAAACACATTTGTTTGGGTAAGAAAGGCATGTGGAAGGACAGAACACAAGGTTAACCTTAGACCAGTGTCAACAGTGAAGATTTTCATCTGTTTGGTCAGATCAGTGTTTCAACCTCACTACACGAAACACTGATAATGAACATTTTGACAGTAGGCCTTTGCGCACCATTCCATTATATTCACATCAATGTAATGACCTGTCATTTTTATTTAGTCTAATACACCCATGTGATCCTCATTAATTATTACTGTGAGCCCTCATCCGCAGCTCACTGTCTTGGTTTATGGCCTTTATAAAAAGCACAGATTATCACCACACTTTATAGACTCATAATGCACCAAATATTGTGCATTGACACTAGCTCGACACCATCCTGACATCACAATAACAGTTATTCAACAGCAGGCTGAAGTGAAACCATGGGAGGAGACTTCAGCATCTGTAGGCTTGTCAGTTTACAGCCTGTCAGCGCCATCAATGTCCATAAGGAGACCATGTGTGAAGGCATCCAGCTACGGTGAGGTTTTCCTCCACGACACTGCCTCACACTCATGTCTGTTGTCAATCACTGACGTTCATTTCAGTCAGTGTCAGCTTGAGTGTGGGAGCTGGTGCTGGTGTTGAAGATGACGGTGGGAAAGCTCAGTGTCTGCGGGTGCGCTGCCCTCCAGCACCCGTGGTGGCGATATAGAGCAGAGGCTGTGGTTGACGTAGATGTGGTCCTCTCTTCATGTTATTTGAATGTGTGGAGGACTCTGCATTTGAGCCTGTGTGAAGAGAGACAGAATAAATGATGGAACTCAATAAAGAAAGCTCATGGAAGAGTAGTGTATCTGTGCATTAGCGATCACAGGTGTTTACCCATCTGCTGGCCAGTGTGGGGTGCTCGGAGTTTGGCGAGAAGAGGGATCCCTCTGTGATGTGGACGGAGTCCAGGGCCCTGGGGGTGACCATTGATGTGAAGATGAGGGTCTGATGTGCTATCCAGAGGTCGAAACCTCTGAGCTGTCATTGTCTTGGTTTGAGGGAGCTAGCATGAATAGATCAGCGATCAACTGACAGTTTGAAGTCTGGTCCTTAAACTAAAAATCCAATTTAAACTAATCTGTGGTCAATTTACAAAATGTTATATCTTAAAACGGAATTGTTAGCAAAATATACTCACTGCGTGACCGGTGACTTCAAAAGAACGTGAGCGCCTCTTCTTACGACGAGCCTCAAAGTCCACTTCTCTGGGGGTTTGATTTTTGTTAGTAACTTGACGGTTGCGAGGTCGCGTCCAGGTCACCTGAGGGCCAGGTCCGTCCCCGGTGCTGCTGGACAAGTTATCGTCCGAGGTGGCATGTCTAAGTTCAGGGCTAGGCTGTCGGTCCTGTCGCATAGGCAGACCTCTAGGGGGCGTTTCACCCATGGAAAGGCTACTTTTCTGCTTTTTGGGATCCAGGGGAGATGAGGGCTGTGGTAATCGCAGGGCATCTAATTCCAAGGCCTTGGTGCGACGACAGGCGGCCTTTGCTACAATGTTCTGAACCCCCTTTAGGATCTGCTGCCTCTCTGTGGGACAACAGGCCAATAATTTAGTCACCTAGTAGTTCACCTGCTCACTGAGTCAACTGGATTTTTGCACGTTTGTCAAGAATGACCTAATATGTTAGAGCAAGAGCCCAAACTCAGATGATCTTATTCATTCATAACAGTTGAGTTTGGATAGGAAATTAAAAAAGAAAAAGTCAGATTAATGACCTTCTCAGCATCATTCCTCACATTCACACAAAATAGGAAGACAAAATAAAAACACTAAGGAGTTACTTTAGGAGTTTTGGCAACGATCATTGTTAACATGTTACTTCATCAATCTGTGATCAGCCCCTAACTCCATGATGTAAAGGTGAATTAACTGTTTGAATTCAGTTATGAATGGACAGCACATCTTACCAGAATGTGACAGTGGGATATCAGCACTGGCCTCACTGCTCTCAGGTGATGAGTCCACTTGGCTGCTGACACTGTGGCTGAGGTGACTGTAGCTCAGTGAGATCTCAGGAGCCAACGGCTGGAGCTGCAGAGAAAAAAGGTGAACGTCAGTGTGTCTGGACTTTTACAACAAACTGGAACATTTTCACCAAACTTAATAAATAAATTAACATTAAAATAAAATCCTTGATTTTGACACATTAAACTGGGTCTCTCTGTGATGGACATCTGTTTGTTGAGGGAATGACGGCTAATTACACTTAGTTCATTTGAGGACATAATTTAAGAAGCAGAATAAAATGGCTGAATGCCACAGTTGAGACTGAATACTGATGCCAGATGTTTTTATAGAAGTATGCCCATAGATAATGAACAAGTCTCACACTGTGAGACTTGTTCATTATCTTCAGACTGAACAGACAAACTGGCTGTAGGCAGCGACCTCACCTCTCTGTTACCCTTGCCATGAATAGGCGGTGGCGTCATTACTGCTGAATTTTTCAATTGCCTGGCATGAGGGCTGCTCTTAAAAACTCTGTTTTCCCTATCAAAGAAAAAAAAGTTAAATACAGGAATGAAGAAGAAGAACATTTTTATTATTTTTTATTCTGGCCCACGTGTTCACTTACAGCTCAGGCTCGGGCAGAATTGGAGGGAGGGTATGTCTGCGTATTTTGCCTGGCCCCCGTCTGTTATCGGAGCACATGTTTCGTACACTCTCCTGATCTGAGTCCAGATCCTGAGTGTTGTTACGACCCTGACTGGACAGAGTGATCTTAGGCAAAGAGCCCTCCTTGAAAAAAGATCAGGAGGATTTTAGTCAAATGGCTAATGCTACTAGTGTAATTATAATCAGACTTGTTGGACTTGACTGTACCTTTAGAGCGTGTCTGCTGGTCATAGTCTTATCCAGAGCCATTGCTCTGTCAAGCTTCCTCTCATCCAGCTCCCTCATGTAAATATCATAGAGCTCCTGAAGGTGAGGGGGGACCAGCAGACTGTGGTCTGAAACACACACAGCCATCAAGCAGGAACGGCAGTGAGAAATAAGAACGTTTTATCATCAACGCTTTGACAAAGCAGCAGTGAGAACCGCTCACCATCGATGAACTGTCTCTGCTGCTGAATGATCTCATCACACAGGTGTCTGTGCTGCGCAAAGCGCTGCACCACAAAGTTCTTCTGGCGAATGACGTTGTCCTTGAGTAGTGCGTGCGACTGCATCTCTGCATTCTCGATCTCCAGCTCGTGGACCTTGCAGAGGAGGCCCAGCACCTCACGCTGCTCCTCTGAGCTGACCCGCCGAGGAAGCAGCTCCTCTAAGCGGCGGGCGTGATCTTGAAGCTCCAGAAACCTGCGCTCCAACAATGTCTTAATTCAAAAAGACAAAATCAGAGATTTCAGTGAACGTACTTGGTTTGTTTTTTGTGTCTTACAGGATCAGGGTTAATTATCTTGCCAACATTTAAAGTGAAGACCTAAATGTGTGACTAATTGAAGTCGATTTAAGAATCATTCTACCTTTTGTTTATGGATCCTTTTCTGCTCAGCCATAAGTGCGACTAGATTTTCCCGGGCAATCGCCACTTCCCTCGTCTCCGTGCTGTCAGGAGGAGACTCTGGGGAGTCAGAGTCCTTCTCGCTTTCATCCTTACTCATGCTCTCTTTCTTCCTCTCTGCACGCCACTTCCTCCTGCGTCGACTTCGCTCCTGTTCCCAACTAACAGGAAAAGAAAACACCACAAATTACACCGACATCATCTGAAGTCACAGCTAAGGAGAGGTTCAGAGATGTCGAAAAGTTCACTCACTCTGCAATGGTCAGCAGGTGTTTGGAGGTGTCCATCTGGATCTCCATGTTGCTGTTGTCCAGCTCCATCAAGCTCTTCCTGATTTCCATCTGTTGACGGAAGGCATCCAGAAGCTGCTCCCTCAACCTGTCCATCTCGTCTCGACTCTGGCTGGAATGAGCCTGGACTTCAGCTGAAATAGCAGGGAGAGATCGTCAGAGGACTTAAAGCAGTAGAGTCCAACACTAGAGACAGCAAACATATAACTTCCTTTACCCTGGACATGGCGGATGTCCGCTCGGTCGGAGTTCACCTGTCGGCTCGCCTGATCTGCAATCTTTTTCTTTAGTCTCTGAATCTCACAGCGCAGATCAGAGATGATGTTTGTGTACTGAGCAATGTGGTAGGACACGTTGATCAGATTCTTCTTTACCTGGGAACACAATTAGGACATTCATTAAAAACATGGATCGTCCATTGTACAGTTAACGTTCAAATTTACTTGAGCATAAGAAGGTAATAGAAGTTGAGTTCATATATGTTTGTATATAATAAAAAAATAAAATTATCTCTAACTTTTAAATATGAATCCTGGACTCACCCGTGTACGAATGCTTTTGGCACGATCAGCATAGGTCAGCGTGTTGCGAGACTCCTCAAAAGCCACAGAGGCAGGGCTGATATGAGCGATCATGACGGTTCGACTGTTCCCGCCCAGAGAGTCCTGTCAATCAAGATTTGACAGAATTACACATAAAACATGTGGATAACCATCCAAACCTCATTTAAACTGTCTTTAAAGTGTCTTACCTTCAGAAGACGAGTCAACTTGCTGTCTCTGTAGTTGACATACTTGTTGCCGTTTTTGTCACTCAGGGCGTTGATGCAGTTGCCCAGGGCCAGGAGGGAGCGGTTGATGTGGGCTCCCTCTTTTAACCTCTGACCCCTGTTCTGGGTCTAAGAACGAGGTAAACAAATTAAAACAGTTATTTATTTTTTCAAATATTTCAGAATTCTTTGCGGATTTCATCAATATTTTAAAATGAAGAACTGCCTACTACCCTGAGAATAATACTACACTTCAAAGGTTTTTCTACAAACATTATCTTTTGCCACTAGGTGTCAGAATAGCACCAGCTTCTTAGTCGTAAACACCTTTTGCAAACAACATCTCTACCTTCTTCACAACTTCTACAGGAGATTGACAGATACTATAGTCACTGTCAAGAACTCTACATGTAAAATAATTAAGGTAAATATGTATTAAGTAGTACTGTGTGTGTGTCCCCTACTGGCCGTTCCGGCACTAACTTCGACCTCCTGTCCTTCAGTGCTCAGCTGGACTCAAACTGCAGCACAGCCTCAAATGACTGACAACTGCAGGTTGTACATAATGGCAGCCATATTATGGTCCGTAGTGGTGCATTCAGTTTTCAGTGACTGACTTGAATCTAAAGACGCCCAATTAGGCAACTGAAAGGAAGTTTCAGACTGTATTGTGTCTCTCTATGTGGCTCCAATCAAGGTATTGGCTGTGGTGGTGTGAAGCTGCAGAGAGTATTCTCAGCAGAGCACATCGGCACCAGCTGTGCTGGAAAAGGCTATTGATTTGGAAATCATAGAAAAGCTCATCATCTTCAGTTTTCTCTTATTCTCCTGGTTTAGAAAAGCTCAAATTATCAACTGCACACTAGGTTTTTATTCGAAGTGTAGTTGTATAATCAAATCTCTGATTTCTTTTTTATTATTTCAGTCTGACTAGGGCCTTAATGACTATTTTATGAAAGGCACACATTATTATCTAACAACAATGCTGGAGGCTTTTTCGCTGCAAAGAAAGCTTTGACTTTTAGCAGTGATACTATCAGCTGTGTTACAGTTTTGTCAAAAAACTCACTGAAATATAAGTACAAGTAATTGATCAAATATAATAAATATATCTACAAACATATAAACTTTTAATTTGTTTGAGTCTTGGAAATGTGTAAAAAAAAACCTTTTCTCCTCATAAAATTAGCATCATAAAACTATACACATGTACAGAACACACGCACCTGTGCTGCTCGCTCGGAGCCAGCAAGGTCGATCATGAAGAGGCGTGCGAAGCGGACCTCCTGCAGGACATCTCGACAGCGGCTCTGCTGCTTGACAGCCACCTGCAGCACAGCATGGGAGCGAGACGACGTCTGATTGGCGGCTGTGGGCTCCTGGGTCCGCTGTTTGTTCCCCTTCATTAGCAGTTCCATGATCTGACAACACACACGTAAAAACCTGTGATGTTTGTCTTTAACAGGCACCAAATCCTGATATTAGGGTTTAAATTGAAGAGGAGTATGAAGACAAGGTAGCATGTCTCACTTCTTGAGCATTAATGGTGGACACTTCAGTGATGCCTGCCACCTGAATCACTCCCTTTGAGTCTTCTCTCAGGTCCAAAAAGCCAGAGGATGGGTTCAGAAGGTCACGGATCATTTCATTGTAGATCTAGAAAGTTCACAAAAGAAAATCATCATAAATTTATCCAGCTATTATTATAGGACAAAAAAAGTATGTGTCTCTGTGTGTGTCAAAGGCTACATCTGCAAAGAAGAGGTAATTTAAACAAAATAAGAAGTACATGTGTGAAATCAACAGGTCAGACAATCGAGATGACCTTTGACCTTTTTGTGGTAACCTGTGTTTAATACAGGTCTGGGGACACAGGGACATTTTCCCCTCCACTGACCCAGTGTGCCACCTAAGACCTGAGCTCCAATAAAATTGTCAGTCAGCGAACATGATAACAGTGTTTGGAGCAGAAATCACAAAATGTAATTTGCACTGTCTGATATGGCCCCTCCTTATCCGCCTTATGCAAGCTCTGTAAGCAGTGAATTGTTTTCATGTGGGAACTGAATGTCATTCCTTTTATTTTCATAGAAGGTCATAATCAGTCATTCTTTTATTTTCATTTCTCCGTGTCTGTTCTATCACGTTATCTTTCCCAGCCCCAACATTAATGAAGTGTTATGACTCAATTCTCTCTACTCTTGCAACTTCGTCTTTTCCATGGGGCAAAACAATTATGACACATCATTAACGTAAATCATAAAAGTGATCTGTGTATGCCATTCATTTCCTAG